TATGAGACTAGGAGAGATTTTTTTGAAAAAATTAATCAGGGATCTGTTTACATAAGTATGAGATGCAACTGAAAAATATTAATATTAAATTTTATAAGATTTATTGCAATCAAGGATATGTTTCCACTAATACCTCTCAAATCCCTCTTTGTTGCTCCAAACAGACTTACCTCATAATTTTTGCACCTTCCAGAAGTTCTGGAAGTCCTTTTTGTGACTGTCTTTAGTTGTGGTGTCATGGTGGCATCATGTCTTGAATGGATTCTAAGTGTTTACCTTTCATAGTCATTTTGACTTTAAGGAAGAGATAGAAGTCCCACAGTGCCAGAGCCGGTGAATAATGTGGATGAGGACATATTGTAATGTTTTGATGACCCTGCCTTTCCACTGGATGGCCCTTGGTAGTAACATTCACTTGGCAGTAGTTTTGATCATGCCTCATAAAGACAGGAGAGAGGACTTCCAGGGACTGCTTCAGAAGAGGCAAGGATAGGATGTGTGTGTTCGGAGCAAGGCAAGGTATTTGGAGGTGGTTTAATAACACTGTGTCTTTCACTGTAAGGAATTTCTTAAAAATTTAAACATTTACCAAGTATTTCAATCACACCTTTTGCAAACTAATCATTTTTAACTTCACTGTTTAAAAAAACAGGCTGAGGTAGTTAGAGCAATGATAGGTTAGAATTACCATTTAGCTGAATAACATGTCAGAACAAGAAATACTAAAACCCTACTTCACCTTATTCCCTGTCCCTGTATTTCCCCTCTAGCATGAGCCATAAAATGGACTGACCTCATAAAAAGCCAGAAGAAGTTAGATGAAGTTGTAGGATGGTTTAAGAAGAACCATTGCCAAAAAATTCAATTCTTCAGAATATGTAGGATGTAAACTGTAATAAATATTCATTTTGTAATGATATCATTTTATTGATAGTTTGCGTGTATATTATTATGTTGGAAGCTGGTTTTATTTTTAAGCAGAAGTGGAATGTTATTTTTGACAGTTTTCAGGACAGTGTTATAGCTCACTGCCTCTTAAGTACAGGCTTCTTACATTGCGACTGTTGCCTGCAATAAGATGGTAGATATTTTTGAGAACCTTTCATCAATTAAAATGTAAGGACCAGTAACTGATCAGATATAAGGATGAAAAGTAAGGATGTGTAAAACACAAAATATCTTGTATTATGGGGACAATGTAGGTTTCTATGAAAATTAGTGAAATTGGAGAGAGAAAACATATTATGAATAATGGATTTGTTCTTGGTTCCATAGAGTCAACAAAGATATCCAGAAGCCTAAGCAGAAGTGTTCAGGAGGCAGCTTAGAACCACACAGTGGTGTCTTAGCTATTTTTCTTGTTGCTGGGACAAAATGCCTCACACCCAAAGTAAAGGAGGAAAGGTTTATTTAGCTCACAGTTTGTAGAGGTTTCAGTTCATAGCTGGTTGGCTCTAAGACAGGGTGGCAAAGCAGAAGGGTATCGCAGAAGAAAAGCCATTCACAGCAAGCAAAAGGCAGCGAGGTAAGCAACAAGCCACAAGTGAGAGTAGCAGCTTTCTTCTGCACCTGTTATATTCTATCCAGGTTACCCAGTTTAGGGCAGGTGCCAAACCAATCAGTGCACTAATTTAGTAATCATACACCCTTAATCCCAGGACCACACATTCTAGATCCAAACACATCTGAAAAGCCCCACCTTTGACTGCATGAGACTTTGAGGGGATATCTAGACAAAAGCCATAGCAAGTGGCCATTCTTTTTTTTTTTTAAAGTCCACTATTTTTATTTGTTTGTTATTTTTGAATCAGAGTTTCCTTATATTTCTCAGGCTGGTACAGAATTCCTGGACCAGTCTTGATTTGTGACTTGCTGTTGTATGTGAAATAATCTCTGTTCCCATGTTAGCTTGCTCTTACAGAGTAAGCTGTGAACATTACTTACTTGACTGAGAGATCTCATGAGAGAAGTGAACTGCCCACTGGCACATATATCTTTATTTTTCATCTGTTTATTTGTAATGGAATATATCCACATTAAAATAACTGGCTAACTTACTAGCTTTATCTTGTACATTTGTCAACAGCAACTTTTTCATTACCTGAGTGAGCCATCAACAGCTTTCTACTAAGTGATCTACAAATCCTGATTTCCTGAGGATTTAAGTGTCACACAGAAGATTCATTCCTGAAAATCTTCATGGAGTAGATAAATAAATACAGATGAGGGCCAGACAGCATTACTTGCTCCAGACTTGCTCCACCTCCCTCCTGGATTTACCAGTCATTAGTGAAGAAAACAAATGACCCAATCCAGATCTGGGCAAATAATATCTGAACTTGTCAAAATTTTTGCAGAGTGAAGAAATTAGGGCTAAGAATTAGAGGGGGATGTCAATATTTCCAAAACTCTAAAGGAAATGAATAATAATTAAGACTTGGGTTTAACTTCCTCTTAGAAAATGTCTCAGGAAGTAGGAAGATCTTTTTCAAGTGGGAAGGAGAATAAGAGATGGAGGAAAGGGTTAGAAGAGAAGGGAAAAGGGGTTCAAAAAAAGAGTTTAGGGCCAGGGATGTAGCTCAGCAGCACAGTGCCTGCCTGGCAAATGTGAGGTCCTGAGTTTGATTCCTGGTATATATATATATATATATATATATATATACATATACACATATATGAATAATGCCATGTGGAAAATTAATTGTGGGTATTCAAATAACATATCCTCTTCCACAGTTTGCTTAACTATTGGACACTAATGTTAATTGTTATCTACTAAAAGTTTTGTTTGGATGAGAAAAATATTCTTAAATCTCACTTTAAATGTAAAGACAAACCTACTTAAAAGTGGAATACCTTCAAATATCGACCAAATATATTTGGGAGATCGATGTTTGAAAACACCTTATGAAAAAAATCTACCAAGTCATTCTGATGTTCACTATTGTTTTGTAAGTTATAAAACACACTGCACGTAAGATTGATCAAACAATTAAACATTAACTGTTTCTTTCAATAAACCAATAGAAATTAATAGTATAATTATCTTAGCTATCTTGCATAAATATATATATATATACAAATTTTTCCCTTCCTTCTTTCTTTCTTTCTCTTTTCCTTCATCCCAGTTGTTCTTTACTTTCGAGCAGTTTCTTTCCGTTTCACAATATCTACTGTACCTTTCTGATTTTACTTACTCTTTCAGGTTCTTACATTAGGGAGTAACCACTTTGAAGATAACAAATGCAATACAATACCCATTGTTGATTTCCTATCACTTTGCCTTGAAATTCTGTATCGTTTTTGTTTTGGTGTTGTTTTATGTCTTTGTTTTTATTTTGTTTTTGTTTTTTTCTCTTTAAAATAAAAAAATACACTGCACTAATATAATATATACGTATATTTGATGCTATTGAAAATACCATCATTTAGACTTTATACTACATCTGCAAAAAAAGAGTATGTGAAGGCAGAACAATTGATGACATGCACTGTAATTAACTGAATATCTGAAATGATATACATGTGAACATATAATTACTATATATAAAAAAACAAAGACATAAAATTGGTTGATATATATGCGTGTATGAGTTGATCTAAGCATTACTTTAATAGAAATAATAACAACAAAATATTCTGTTGATGTTTAATTTTTAAAAATATTACTTTTTCTGATTTGAAATAAAATGACATGAAGAGATTCATTAGTATAGTACAAATGATTGTAAAGAGCTTTGTGCTGAAGAAAACACTGGTGGTATAAATAATCTAACGACTAAAGATGCAACTAAATAAAATGAAGCAGGTGACAGAGGGACAGACAATTCCGCACCTTCCAGTGGGAATTCAGCTGGAAGGAATTACATACCCAAAATTTTTCTTTTTTTCCTTTTGCTCCTCTCAGTGTACCCCACCTACAAATAATAAGTATGGTATAGTTAGAATGATTGATTGGCATCGTGAGAACACGCAGCTGTCATTTCTGTATCTTTGTAGCTCTTCCTTTGCTTCACCCTGTTTTACAGTGAAAATGTCCTCATTGCCTATGGAAATGCACTTGTATAGTGTTCTTCTTCACCATGACCTTATTCATGTGCACAGAATAAACTTATCTGTATGTAAAAAGCTTGAAAGCAAACTCAAAGAAAGAGGTCCTAAGGTAACCAGAGTATGGAAGTTTTAAAGTACTTAAAGAAACTTCCCCTCTTTACCTCCAGCCCTCTGAGACTTTATTATGGATGAAATAAGCTAAAGATGTCCAAAACAATTGGTAAAAATTATAACATAGATATATATAATTTTTATGCATGAGGCATTTTATTTATTTTTATTTATTTAGTCTTTTTGAGACAAGGTCTCGCTATGCAGTTCAGGCTGGACTTGAGCTCACTTTGTAGCCCAGGCTGATCTTAAACTCACAACAATCCTCCTGCCTCAGCCTCCCAAGTGCTGGGATAACAGGCATGTACCAACACTCCCAGCCATGAGAGATTTTAAATAAAACATTCATATATACATATTATTTTATAAAGTAACAATATGCCTAATCTCTATGCAAAAGTATGTGTGTGGACATAGAATCTTTTATTACCAATACTGATTAATTTTCATTACAGCACAGAACATCCCATAAAGAACCTGAACATATAATATTTTTTCTGTTAACTAAATCCAGTAAGATAAATATCATTCATGTATTCTATTTATTGGAATGATATACACTTATCTCAGATCATATAGCAGAAAACTGAGCTAGGTATCCAAACCTCATGTTCTTCTTAACATATAACATTGATTTATCCTTATAAATGTACAACTCACAGCTGAACAGCAGTTTGAAGAGGAGAAATCCCAGTGAGTACTGCTTTCATGTAATTTGATGGGCTATAAGAATATCATTAAGTCTGCTACATATATCCCTATTAACCTACCCCAGTTATCCCAAATCCTACCATCACAGCTCCTTTAAGCCATACCATCACAAACATTCCTGACAGGTTTAAATTTGGTGCTAAAATATTTTCCAGCGTGTCCATCTGTAGAAGCCTGTCTTTAATGGGGTACAGAGTGGAATAATGGCTCCGCAGGAAGACGGTATTGGTGCAGATGGAGGGCTTGTGCTAGGGTTACCTGGGCCTTCGTCCTCCGTTTGGAGCCTGTGTCCTCCAGTGAGGGGTGAGAAAGGTGTGGAGGGTAGGAGGCCTCCGCAGAATGACTCTGCTGTCTCTCCTCCCTGAGACTTGCTGGGAGTGTTAACTGCACTGATCACCACGGGTTTTTGGCCTGCTGCAATATCTCAATGTTCTGAGCAGTTTAATACGTAAGTTAAGATTGGTTCAACTTCAAAAATATTTTGTAGTTTTACAATTGCATTTGCATCTTTTTTATAAAACAAATTATCACCATTTATAAAACTGACCCATCCTAAGAGCCCCAATGGCCAAAGGCCATTCTCTGCTTCAGAGTAATAGCTCACCCCTGGAGTCTTCAGCCGTTCACTTTTCTCGCTTACAACGGCCATTACAGAAATTCCAGAAAGGCTTAATTAGTGACACTTCAGGTGGGCTGACCGACAGTTGTGTTACTTGTCTACGTAAAGTCCAAGCTAAATCAGACATCTAAGCCCCATTCAGCTGTGAGGTTATGCAAACCGGATAAAGACCCCCTATCTAAGACCCTAAGAGACAGGGTGAGAAATCGTAGACTGCCCCATGTAAGCCACTGTGGAGGATTCCAAGAACGAGTGCTCCATCAGGAAAGGCACACCTGTCACCCCAGCACTTGGGAGGCTGAGAAGGAGGCCACAAGTTCAAGTCCAGCCTGTGCAACTCAGGATTTAGTGAGACACTGTCTCAAAGAAATAGACTGGCTAGAGGAGCAGCATTGGGGGTGGGGCAGGAAGGACAAGCACTTACTACAAAAATACAAGGGAGATGTACCGTAAAGTGAACCCGCCATTTATTAACACTAACTGCGACACTCTACGTATGCTCAGAGACAATAAGCCAGGTTTGATCAAAGGAAGATCCGCGCTTGAATATGGGGATAAGATTGGGCAACATAACACGCGGTTCTGTTACCGGTACACAGCCCTTCTGAGGAAATAAAATATCCTCACAAGGGAGGCATTTCATGATGTACTTGCATGGCTTTTCTTATTCTACCATTCTAAATACATTAAAAAGTGAAATATAATTTCCTTAGTTTAGAGATTATTTTGGTAACAGGAGTCAAACCCAGTGCCTTATGCTTGCCAGGCAAGTGCTATAGCGCTGAACTACCTTCCCAGCCTGAGCTTTTCTACAAATACGAATTATAACTTTTATTGTTGGTCCTTTGCTGATATTTTTCATCATGTCACTGCATATTTTGTTATATTATCCAAACAATATTTTAATGACATAAAATACAGCAATAATTCTTATCTTACAAATCTGGCAATTTTTTGGAGATGCTAGAAATTTCTTTTTAAAGAAGCTTTTTCATTATACTTTAATATGCTTATTTAAAACACCAGTCATGTTCAAGCCAGGAGAGATTGCCAGTGCTCAGGTTACTGTAAATCTTCTTAAAATGGATGAAAAAGATCGATTAATTCAGCCATCAGCTAGAAGCATGGCTGAGGAAGGAAAGAGGCTGCCGAGCAGAGGGGCTGTGAAGACGGAGATGATTCTGAGAGAAAATTTTAAACAAAATCAATTGTCCTTTATGCATAATTCACATGGAGAGCTGATATCACACACAGAAAGTACTGTATCACAACAGAAGCTATTCAGTTCAGCCAGGTCGCAGCCTTGGCATCAAACACCGAGCAAGATTCACTCTCCACCCAATTTTACATTTGCACTGTGACCTTTGATATCGTCTTTCTTTCCTATCATCTTTACACCCTTCCTGGGATGTAGTTAAACATCCCATGGAAATGAATGGAGAGTCACTTAGTCCCAGGTGATTTCCATTTCTATTGCAGCGAATTCATATGGTTAAACCTTTATTCAAATAAGGTTAACATGTGCAAAGCAAGATTACTCACATTATTCATTTATTGGGAAAAATGCATCTCTTCTTGATGAGTACAGATAGTTTTCCTAATAGATGTGTTTTCCTGAATTATGGTACTACTGTACTTTGAGTTACTATTATGTGAATTATGCTGAAAATACTAGAAATACATGCATAATTTCACAGATGTCCTCTGATTGTCTTTGAGGACCTGATGATTTTCATTAAATTCATATTTGCTGCAAACACATCTATTTACACTTTATTCCTTTTTACACATAACTCTTCATTTACAAACACATGTTCAGACTGATCAGAATGTTGCTCTGTAAGGATCACCTCCACAACCTCACTGCACAGTGGGTTCACGACCTTGGGAGGCCCTAACTGACCTTTATAGCCCAAAGGGAATCCAGTTAGCTGGAACTTTATACTGCTCCTTTAAATTTTTCTACCTCATTACATGTTTCAGTACTTAAGACTTATTCATACTTCCTTCCTCTCATGATTTAGTGGAACCTGGAAAAATACTACTTTTAAAATGTCTGGGTAGCTGTCAGTGCACACACCACATCCAGGGTGTACTGCTGGGCACCACGACACCCTCCCTGCACTGTGGGTGCATCTCACTCCAAGCCAGGACCACTCACCCTCTTCCTTCAGGGCTCCTTGCAGTCCTCACTTTTAAGTACTTCTAGAAGTGTTTCTGTGTGTAATATGAAAAGTTTAGTCTCCTCCATGAAGTTTCTGGAGAAAAGCTGGGCATGGTAGTACACACCCGTAACACTCAGGAGGTTGAGGCAGCCTGGGCTACAAAGCGAGACTATCCCAATCAATCAATCAATCAATCAGCCAAACAAACCTGATGGTTCTGCAGAATAAGCTATTAACCTATAAAGAACGTTATAAAATTTTGTATTCTTAAGGATATATACATTTCCATTGAAAGAGATACTTTCAGATAAATATGTTAAACAGTACTTTTTAAAGTCCCATTTTAAGCTATGTCTAGGTTGTAAAATTGTCAGAACTAAATAATTACTTGGAAGAAGATTTGAAATAACTTTCTGTTCTGCATAGTTTCAGTAGGTTTTGCCATTGAAGTCCATATGCACTGTCGTGGTAACAGTAAACACGATAAATCTGAGGATATAATCATATCAAAGTAATAGTAATATTTCCAAAACATCTTCTTTAAGAGAAATCAGAATTTAAGTACTTTGCCCATTTTGTTCTACCTTTATTCAACAAACTGCCGTTTACTCCAAGAAGCTTTGGCCTTGGGAAGCCAGTGAGATAATGTGAGCAGTGCTGGTGAACGGAATGTGAACAATTCGAACTGCGGTGTGCCATTCCACAGTTGAGTGTTTTGTAAGCTTCTGCGGGTTATGGATGAGGACATTCACCGCTGCTGGCAAAGACAGCTCCATCCGAGCCGAGTGAAATTTCTCGGGCTGAAACAGGTGCACAGAACTTGTGGCAGAACAAGTAACGGCAAAGCCGCGGAAGAGCCCCGGAAAGTCCAGGCGTCCTCAGAGCAACTCCAGGCCCGTGTGGAACAGCAGCAGGAGGGGCAGAAGTGAAGCTGGAAACGCCAGTGTGACTCAGCTGTCAACGGCAAAGGTGGTCACCAAGTATGGCAGTTGCACGTTGATGGTTTTTCCAACCACGGGATGTGACATGGTCCAGACTCACTCTCAGGAAGAACCTCGGTGTTGGCGTGTGGGAGACTTCAGGCGGGGCGAATAGAAGCAAAGGAAGAATGTTGTACTTCTAGCAAACAATAGCGCCATTCTAAATATGCATAGAAGGCCTTAGGGCAAGTAGTTGTCATTGGTTAACAGATGTATCCCAGCTCAAGCATAGTCGATATCAGATAGTTCACGCTAAATAGATATTTTTGAGCCTGTCA